TGTACTTGCATTAAAATACCCATACTCGGTCGACCTAGAACCGAATTGGGTCGATCGCGAAATCGAATTACGATCTTCATTTTACGTCAAATATGATGGATAAATGGATACAACACTTCTCTTCAATCTGGTCGACCTCATGCTGTAAATGGTCGACCATTTTGTGAATGACCGTCATCAAGTGTTCGACCTGTATACCTTTACGTTCAACCATGTTGCTTCTGACACCACCGAAAAGGGCGACCGAGGTTTTATAGTGGTCAACCAAAAATAACAACTTAAACTACAAACGGTCGACCGTATGATCTTTGAGGTCGACCGCGATGAGTCTTCAGGGTGCCCAAATTAGTCAATTCGGTCGACCGCTGTTACGATTAGGTCGACCGAAATGTCCATCTCACGGTGACCTGCTCGATTAATTCAAAGTTTGAACTCCAAAATTACGCAACAGATATCGCAGTCGAGACCGGCCTTGTCGGGGCAATTGACGGTGAAGACGGTGGGGTTGCTGGCGTCTTTGCTGGCTGGATCAGGACGACGTTCTTGCTCGTAATGCCCATGCCGATGACAGAATTAAAATTCCATAAAAAGAGGGAAAGAAGCTATGCGATTGGGACTGGACGAGCTCCTCATCGTCTTGTTCCATGGGTGGAGTTAGGGCGGCAACAACGGCGACGGGAATGGCGCAATCGAGGGATTGGGGGCAGGCGGCGAATCTGCGGGGAGGTCCGTCAACAACAAGGATGTCATCGTCCTCTTCGTCATCGGCGATGGGCCAATGGTCTGGGGAGGGGCGGAGGAGGATTTCAGAGAAGGTGGTTGTCGTCTTGGTGGTGGGTGGCGGAGGAGGGAGGGGTGGCGAACCGCAGATCTGGGAAAGTGAATGAAAGTAACAGACGGTTGGAGAAAGAAGAGAGCATAATTCTTCTTTTTTGCTTCTAACACGTGTCAATTTTTTATTGGGAGGGGTGGCTGCCGTGTGGGAGCCAGCTCAGCATCGTAAAGGTTAGTTAGCATCATCTAACGAAATTGTTAAGAGTGAGTTCAGTTAACGTTTGGCTAATTTTTTGTATTTCAATAGTTGTGGCTATTATTCCCCACTACTCAATAGCTCTGGCTAATATATTGTATTTACCCTTTTCTATTTTAACTTGTGTTGTGCAACTAATATCGGGTTAATTGCATGGTTGGTCATTGAGATTACAAAAAACGTTCATGTTTGGTCACTGGAAATATTTAAATCCAATCTTGGTCACTCAAATTAGTTAAATGGTTCAAGTTTGGTCACTCTCCGTCCAATTCCGTTAAATTTGTCTGATGTGACAGTCAACCCTCAAAGTTGACCGTTAACTCAGTGACGTGGCAATTAAAAATTAATAAATAATAAATTTTAATCTTCTATCATTTCTAACTCATTTTCAAAATAAAATAAAATAAAAAAACAAAAAAATTATTATAGTTACAGATTGAAAGGGTAACTTCCTCTCCCGCTACTACATCCCTTCCCCGCAACCAAATCAGCCCCCAATTTCGCCCCCTGCCGCCTTCGTAGCCGCTCATGGGCGGTGATATTTGTATGCCCATTATCTGTAGGCTACAGCGGAAGCATAAGCAGAGATATGAAGACGAAGAAGATGCTGATGATAATGATGGCCTTACATTGTTTCGTCATCACCACCATCGCATCTCTTTCACTGTTACCCCTCTGATCCCCTCTCTCATCCTCTTTATTATTAATACACACTCATTCCATACACACCCATAAACCGTCTCTCTCTCTCTCTCTCTCTCTCTCTCTCTCTCTCTCTCTCTCTCTACAGAGCCAGAGGCTGCTTGCTTGCTTGCTTCTTTCTCTTTGCTCTACTCTTCTCTCCATCTTATTTCTTCCATTATTATATACAATTTGTTTTGCTAGCTGTTGTTTATTTTGTTAGCAACGCAACCAGCGAGCAATTCCATCTCTTGTTCCACTTTTTTGAGTTTCCCCGTTTTTTCTTTGCTTTCCATCATTAAGCTTTGAGATAGAGGGTTTTGTGGCTTCTGTTCGAGACTCTCTCTGTGCTTTTCCCCTTCTTTTTTCTTTTTTCCTTTCTCATGTTCTTCTTTCTTTCTCTTTAGTTATGGCGGAAGGGTATCTCTCCACCTACTGCGCGTCGTTGGGAGCTGATTTGGTTGCGGAAAGAAATGTGGTGGCGGAGGAGGAAGCTACCCTTTCAATTTGTAACTATAATAATTTATTTATTTATTTTATTGTGAAAATGAGTTGGAAATGATAGAAGATTAAAATTTATTTTATTTATTATTTTTAATTGCCACGTCACTGAGTTAACAGTCAACTTTGAGGGTTGACTGCCACATCAGACAAATTTAGCAGAGTTGGACGGAGAGTGACCAAACTTGAACCATTTAACTAATTTGAGTGACCAAGATTGGATTTAAATATTTTCAGTGACCAAACATGAATGTTTTTGTAATCTTAGTGACCAACCATGCAATTAACCCAACTAATATCATATTGAGAGATAAATTAGAGCAAGTCACGTCCTTATTTTGTCATGTCCTATTCAATTTCATTCCACCTCCGCTCCATATAATTCGATTATCTTTTTCTATTTAAGTATTTAACATATAGTCATGTTACGGGAGAAGATAGGTGGAGTTAGCACCATCCTAACTAAAATCTAAACCATTTACTTATATTTTAATAAAGGGTATAATTGAAACAAAGAAAAAAAATGAGAAAATAAAATTAATGTTGATTTACGGGAAAGTGTACTCGCGGATTTTGAGGGATTTCCGTCTGAGGCAATTGCTATCCCAAAAAACAAAAATCAGTACTAACTATACACTCCCAAAATAAAAATCACTACTAATCTGTCAGGATCCCACAATAGCTTAAACACTACTACACTATTTTGAAAGGATGTCAAACATTCATAAGCACTACCAATTCTTCCAAATCAATAACAAAAAACACTACTGGTATGCGAATAACTAACAAGAAACCACTACGAACACTAATAAACACTAGTACAATATTTTCAAAGGATCTCAAGCATTCAGAAATACTACTAATCTTCAGGTTCTTCAAAATCAATAACAAAGAAATACTACTAATTAATACGAGTATAAGTAAGAAGAAAAACACTACTAAAATTGAAAATTACTAACAAGATAAACGCGTAAAACATTACTAACAATGAAAACACTATTACATATTACCAAAAAAAAAAAACACTATTACATATCTGAAGTAACACTACTGCCTACGCCATAATCATGAATCACTACTAATGTTCAAGAAACAACAAAATCATTGTTGCAATCCCCAAAAGTTAGACAAGAAATGGTTGCATGCAATTGCACCGGTGAGAGAATCAAGAGTCGGTTATGCTCTCAAAAGAAGACAATATCTGACGGCGTTCGCACATGCGAAGGCGAGGGCGGGCTAATGCGGAACGATGTAGGAGACGAGAAATCGGCGGCACAGGGTAAGCCAAAGGCGGACGAATGCGAGAGCGGTGGATGGGGCGACATAGAGGAGGTTGGCGAAGGCGAGGGTAGCGCCGACGTGTCGCCGGGGAGGCGAGGGCGGGCGAGTGCAAGAGCGGTGAAGGAGAGTGAGGCAGAGGTGAATTTGGCGAAGATGAGTTTAGAGAGGAAGAGAAAGAGAGGAACAAAAAATAGAAAGAGATGGATTAAAACTCTTCAGATCCCCTAATCTCGTCCACCCCACCCTTTTTCCTCCTAATAGCACGTTTTGAAGACACCACTTAATTTTGGAATACCCACTACATCCTTGCCTAATGAGAATCGTCAAATTATAAATAAAAAAGCATTTGACGAAAATTACGACAGTTAGCACGATTCTAACCCTTTAAAGGATTAGCATCTCATTCCTCGTGTTTACCAAGTTTTAACTTCTATAAAAAAAAATTAATCGTTTAACAAACTGTATGACTCTTTATCCGTTAATTTTAACTTCCTTAGTTATGTTTTTCTTTTTGTCCGAAAGACTTTTTTGCCCTTATCTTTTCATAAAAAGTCTTGGTTTCATATATTTTCTATGAATCGCATTCATATATTAAAATAGGTCAACATACGAGACATGTCTCGTGTATAATAAAATTAGTGGACATAATATATATGTTTTTTCTAAAGAACTATTTGAAATACTACTCCTGTGGTGCCTTATGAGTTATGACACTATACACACTTTGTAGAACTAAAATATCTATAGTCTCAAACATGTTATGGGGGTATGAACACCAAATATGCTATAGCTCGTGAATTGAAGGGAAAGTAAACACTACAAACTCAAAAAAGGGAAGAACAAAAAACACGCATGGAATGATATCTCAAAACTCCGATATCATTTCTCCCCTGGCGTGGTTGTTGGTGAAGACTGAAGAAAGAAAAACATTTTTTCCGAACCCTCTATAATTGAATTTTCCACCAAATCTGCTGCCAGATGATTGCGGAGTTAGTACTTGGTACTATAATGTGTTATTTTGGTCAACCATTGAATTCCTTTTTAGTCACACACCATTACACCAACTAATTCCTCATACACAATTGGTCATATCTTTTCTCTTCAAGGTCCACCCTCCTGCATTACTTCTGTTCCACGCCACCACAAAAACCCTAAAGCCCCCTTAATTAAAGAGGAAGAAAATCTGCTACCCTTCAACAATGGAGAGGGTTGTGTCCATTATCCACATAACTACTCCCCTCATCCCACTAATTGAACCCTTTTAAACCAAATTCTCCCAAACCACAAAAAGCACTATAATTAACAACAATACCATCATCACCTTCCACTCCTACAGGCTGCATTAGTCCCTTGTGGTAATCATATATAAATCCCAAGTCCATTCATCCATCACAACAGAGCAAACCACCATATCTAATCCTTCTCTAACTTCTCATATCTTCTCGCATCTTTCCAATCTTCTCAGAGTCACTGAAACAGAGAACAACCCAGAAAGGAAAGGAACATTATGTCGACCACAATTGACATCACGGAGGAAACCAGCGCGGTTGCAAAGGGCAAGGCACCACTCATCGCCACAACCACTTACAGCGATGGTTCCAAGGGGAACATCAAAACCAAGGGCGCCGTCGCCGCTGCAGGGTACAAGAAGGGGATCGCCATTTTCGACTTCCTTCTCAGGCTAGGCGCCATAGTCGCAGCTCTCGCCGCCGCCGGCACCATGGGCAGCAGCGAGCAGACCCTCCCTTTCTTCACTCAGTTCTTCCAGTTCCGAGCCAGCTACGACGACCTCCCTACCTTCCAGTACGCCTCTCCTTCATCAAAACTTAGAGTTAAAGCGCGATTTTGACTACGTAAACAAACATAAGTGTTAAATGATTTTGTTAATTTGTCAGGTTCTTTGTGATTGCAATGTCAATCGTGGGAGGCTACTTGGTTCTTTCCCTCCCCTTCTCAATCGTCCTCATCATCCGACCATCAGCGGTCGCGCCCAAGATGCTCCTCGTCGCCCTCGACATCGTAATACGACGACCTTAATTAATCCAAGCATTAAATCCAACAATGTTTGAGAGATTAATTAATTAATTAAGTTGGTTAATTAACTCTATGCAGGTGGCTCTGACTCTGAACGCGGCGGCAGGAGGGGCGGCGGCGGCGGTAGTCTACTTGGCGCACAACGGCAACTCGAGCGCCAACTGGCTGGCCATCTGCCAGCAGTTCGGCGACTTCTGCCAGAAAGTGAGCGGCGCTGTCGTGGCTTCCTTCATCTCCGCTGTGGCGTTGGTGTTCTTGGTCGTCCTCTCTGGTTTCGCCCTGCGAAGGCATTAATATATCCAAAAGAAAGAAGGGTGCTCATACAATATGTGATCCCTACCTTAATTCTTCCATTTTAATTTTTAATACTTTCGATTTCACTGTACTTTTGTTAATTGTCCATCTGATTTTTCGGGCTTATTGTTGAGAAACTTGTAATCTTGTGTTGAATTACGAAAGCATTGGAATGAAAAATCTGATTCTGATTCCTACTGCATTTTTCTATTTTCTATGTTTGAATAGAATGATTTGATTTTGATATTTGTGATTTTTCCAAATATTGAATTTTGTGTTTGGAAATTAATTACATTTGGTATTTGGATTTGTGTCAAATTCATGGGGTGATTTCCAAATACATGTCTAGTGTATTACTTGTTAACTTCAAATACATTTCAACAACTAGTGATTTGAAATACCTCCTAATAAAAGATTGGACCTATTGTAAAATATTAAAAGTTTAGGTACTATAATGTAGGACAAAACATAGGGTTTGGATAAGTGTATTCAAATATAAGGTATTTGAAATACAAGTATTTAAAATGCATGTATTTGAAATACTAGCACATGTAATTCAAATTCATTGTTTGAATACTCATTTGTAATTTGTTTGTATATTAAATATTTTGATTTTATTTTTCTTATAATTTAGTACCTAAATTTTTAAAATTTTACAAAAAAGTTCCAGAAATTTTGATGATAAAATTACATTTTGGTACCTTTATATGTTCTTCCTCACACTATAGTACCTAAACTCTTGATATTTTACAAACAAGTCCAATCTTTTGTTATGATATATTTCAAATCACTAGTTGTTGAAATGTATTTGAAGTTGACAAAAAATACACTAGACATGTATTTGGAAATCATCCCATGAATTTGATACAAATCCAAATACCAAATGTAATTAATATCCAAACACATGATTTGACATTTAGAAATCCAAATCACAAATACCAAATCAAAATCATGCTATCCAAAACACCCTAAAGGTATCAAAATGTAATTTTACCATCAAATTTTCAAGACCTTTTTGTAAAATTTTAAAAGTTCAGGTACTTAATTGTAAGAAAAAATAAATTTGGGTACCAAACTATAATTTATCAAAATTTGAAGTTCATGACCAGAAAATTCATAAATTAATATTAAAAATCATAACATTTAAAATACAAACAAATTACAAATGAGTATCCAACAACGAATTTGAATTACATGTATTTCAAATACATATATTTCAAATACGTTAAATTTGAAATATCCAAATGCACGTAATCTTACCATAAAGTATCACATCAAGAGTAAGGTTTCGAGGGCTAACTTAGCTTATGCCAGGAAGAGCCGCATATTTTTTTTGGTGCTCTGTTTTTTTTAACTTACCTAGTTTCGGTCACTCTGTTTTTTCTGATATGATGATTTTTTGGCGTATTTACATTTTTTTATGCGACTATCAATTGCATAATTTAGACATAAACTTATTTTTAGCGTTTAAATTTAGAAATTAATCATGCTTAATTACAATAACTAAGAAATTATGAGCTTATTAATTACCTAGTTTAGACATAAATTATGTTTAAGGTTCATATTTAGATTTAGAATTAAATTATATTTAATATGGTAATTAATTCATTGTGCTTATTAATTAGCAATTATAGAATTTATGATGAACACTCTCGCTTCTCTCTTCTTTCTCTCTCTTGTTCTTGCGATTCTGATCACGACCTGGCGAACATGGCCACTGCGACCGTTGACGCCTGACGGGGAGCCGCACGATTGGGCCCAATTGTTTGGTGTGGAGGAGGGTAGTCGTCTACGGTTCATTCAGCCGGAGGTGACCGCTGGTGCTCTTCTCCTTCCTCGGGTATTGAGGGATGCTGGGGCGACACGGTGGAGAGAATCCCTAGTCGGTCAGTTTATGGCCGAGCCACCGTCGATACAGACGATTCAGACATGGGCAAATCGTCTGTGGGGGTGCGAGGGGCAAATTCATGTATCTAGATTTGGGGATTCCATGTTCCTCTTTTAGTTTCCTGATTTTGCTATGAGTACCTGGATTTTTGAGGGAGGGCCATGACACTGTCAACATGTGCCCTTGTTCTTGCGTCGCTGGACGCCTGGGATCCAGCCTCTAGATATTCACCTGTCATCATTGCCGATTTGGGTTAAGATTTGGGGGAGTCCGCTGGAATACCACACAGTTGATGGTCTTAGCCGAATTGCTAGTGTTCTTGAGGTTCCGCTCTAGATGGATCAGGCAACAACGTTGGGTACAAACATAGACACTACTAAACTCAGTGTGGATTTGGGGATGGATTGTGGGTTTAGGGAGGAAATTCTGGTTCAATCGGAGGGTGATGTGGCTTTCTCTCTTCGAGTTGAGTATTTGAGACTTCCTCCGCGCTGTCTTCATTTTCATGTCTATGGCCATGAGGAGGGTCAAGGGACTGAATGTAAGGTGGAGGTGGAGGGTTCTTGGAGCCCTAAAGAAGGTTAGAAGGAGGTAGCCTAGGCGGTGATCCAGCAGCTTCCTCAAGTGATTACGCCGGTCTCCCCTCTCACTGCAATCCTTGCTGATGGCGTTTCTTCTCCTGGAGGATTCCATCTTGTTCCTAAAGAGTTACAGCTGGGCTCCTGTGTTACTTCAACAAGTGGTACTAAGACGGTTGAACCTAGAATATGGAGGTGTGATGAGGATGTTGAGCTTGATAAGATTGTGGCTAGTATTGAAGAGTCTAGTAGTAAGTTGGGTAACAAGTCTGGTATGAAGTCTGGTGCTGCCAAAGTCTCTGCGCCTTCTAAGAAGGGAAAGGGAAGAGGTAAGCATCGATGATTCTATTATCTTACAATATCAGGGGCTTTAACGCCCCAGAAAAAACATAAGTATGTATATAGTATACTAAATAAATTTAAGGTAGATTTTGTTGCTATTTTAGAAATACTAGTTATTTTGAAGAATTCTGGTGCTATATGAATGGGCAGTTTGGTGGGTGGGAGCATATGAATGATTATGGCAAGTCCAAGTCTGGTAGGGTCTGTGATATGATCCAAGTTTCGCAATTAAAAGCAAATCAATTGATGGCCAAAGGATCAATCAACGTTGGGGTGAAAAATGGACGAATTTGGCTAAGTGTTTGGGTTGTTTCGTGGTGCTTACTTTACATATTCATATCGTACATTATGGTTGATGGAAATGCGAAAGGAAGGTTGGAGAGTGAAGGGAAAGTGTTTGTTTATCACCCTGGATGGTTGTTTGCACCAGGTCAAGTCTCTAAGTCCCTGAACGAGAAGTGCCAAGTGACTATGGCGAAACTGGAAGATTGCCTATTTTTGGCTAAGTCTGGAAGCAGGTTGAGATACCATCTTTGGGCGCTTATTCTTTTTTTGTTTGGTAGGAAAGTGGGACGCTAAAAGGGCGCCCCTGCCTGAAACTTAGATTAAGCGGGTTTGTGAAATACCCAGAGTGTCATACAAGATCCAATAGGCTAAACCAGAGTCAGAGACCTCAAAATCATGATAACCAATGCTACTAGAATGGCCCTTGTTGGCCAGGAAATCCGCTACTTTGTTCCCTTCCCTCTAGATGTGGGAAATCTTCACTTCCCAGCTCTTATTGAATAGCTCCTGGAACTGCTAAACCAGGATAAAGTACCTTTTCTCCATATGTTCACTGGAGGAGAGGATATTAATCGCTGTTGTGGAATCCATTTGTAGGAGGACCTTCCTATAGCCATTCCTCCACGCGAGCTAGAGCCCTCGGATGGCCGCCATAATTTCAGCTCGAGTAATCGTGCACACTCCGAGGTTCTTCACAAACGCTCCCATGCATTTCCCAGACCAATCGCGAATCAATCCGCCGCCAGCAGCCGTCAATCCTGGCTGCTTCACTGAGCCGTCAGTATTCACGCACACCCGATCCTGAGGCGGCGGGATCCAAGCACGCTGATGAGCTGTTTTCTCCATCATTGCTTCCTTGATCGCCTTGTCATCTGTTTGAGCTCGTCTGATGGTCGTCGTCCAGCAACGAATCCGGTGCGCCAGCACATGATCCTCCTGGTTCAAATTATGGAACTCCTTCTCGTTCCGTCTTTTCCAGAGGTACCAAGCTGCTACTCCGAACAAGAGGCCTTCTTTATCCTTCCTGAGGTGCTCGTCTAGCCATGCTGCAAAGCCAAGGCCGCAGGTAAGCAGGTCATCTTGAATTCCTAGATTACGCCATACCTGTTGGGAGCTCGAACAGTGGCGTAAAATGTGTTCTGCTGTTTCTGTCTCAGATCTGCAAGTCGGACAGGTGTCAATCATGGTGAGTTTCCTCCTCTTCCGCTCCGCGTTCGTCATTAGCCTGTCATGGAAAACCAACCACAAGAAATGTTTATTCCTGTTTGGGCCGGCCCATTTCCAAAGTTGCTTCCAGTGCGGTTGGGCGGTCGTCTCCTCTAACGCAGGCTCGTCGTCACTCAACCACTCCACGGCCGCCAAGTAGGCAGAGCGGAGTTTGAACTTCCCATCCTGCTCCATTCCCCAGGCTGTGATGTCTTCCCCCAACCCCTCCTTCGGCGGATCCGTACCTGCAATCAAAGCAACAGAATTTGGATTTAGATGTTGCACAATCTCATGCCACTTCCACTCACCTTCGGCAGTAGCCATATCCGCCACTGTGGCATGCCAATTGATATTTGCTCCATCGCCAGTAATCTGATCCCTCAGGACAATCCCCTCGGCCAACCAAGAATCAGTCCAAAAATGGACATTGCAACCTCCCCGAATGTCCCACACAATATGTTGCTTCAGAATAGGCCAAGTATCAACAATCCCTCTGCAAAGCCTTGAGAAATTGCTTTTCTTCATGATCATGGCACCTGCAACATTAGTTGTAAAATATTTCCCTTGCAGAATGTGGATCCATAGCTCATCTGATTGGTTTAGGAAAGCCCATCCCAATTTCATCAAGTACGAAAGGTTAAGCGCCCTTGCTGATCTTAACCCAAGACCACCTTCTTCTTTTGGTTTACAAATGGTTTCCC